AGGACAGAAGCAAACAAGCTGGGGCAATACTGGGCACAGTTTCCATGTTGTGACCTTTGGGAGGAGGTAGTGATGGACGGCTGGATATGTCAAATAGTTGACACAGTCCTGAACTGAATTAATCTCTACTACTTTCAGGTATTAAGAACTGTGACCCCAAGGGGCCCCTGATGATGTACATCTCTAAAATGGTGCCAACATCTGACAAAGGACGTTTCTATGCTTTTGGACGTGTTTTCTCTGGTCTCGTCTCAACTGGCTTGAAAGTCAGAATCATGGGACCAAACTACACACCTGGCAAGAAAGAGGATCTGTACTTGAAGCCAATCCAAAGGTCAGTCCTAGCTGGGTGGAGTGCCTGGAGCTGTAACTTAAATTTATGGTCCTAGTACTGTCCTAGGGCTATCTCTGAGATAAGACAAAGGAGTTGGCCTTTGTCTACAACCTTAACTGCCACAGCTTCAGGATGCTGCCTCGTGGGACCTCATCTTTTGAGCTTGAGTAAAACAACCTTCTCTTCCATCAGGACCATTCTCATGATGGGCCGTTACGTTGAACCCATTGAGGATGTGCCTTGTGGTAACATTGTTGGTCTGGTTGGTGTTGACCAGTTCCTCGTGAAAACTGGAACCATCACGACGTTTGAGCACGCTCACAACATGAGAGTCATGAAGTTCAGCGTCAGCCCTGTTGTGCGGGTGGCTGTTGAAGCCAAGAACCCCGCTGACCTGCCCAAGCTAGTGGAAGGACTAAAGCGTCTGGCCAAGTCTGACCCCATGGTGCAGGTGAGTGCCTGAAATACTCTCAGGGGTAAGAGAAACTGTAGTCCTACTGACAGGAGACATGTTAGTCATGTAAAATTCATTGTAAAATTATGTAGAGGAAGACTGATTGCTGGGCTTGTTTGCAGAATAGTCTTGAGTTGAATATTGGTCCCAAACCCTACCTGTGTGTGTGTGGAGAAATGCATCATTTTCCTCCCATTTTGTACAGTTAGTCATCTCCAGGAAAATGGAGAGCACATCTAAAAGCTTCATAAGTCAAGAAGTAAAGATCTAGGGTGATCAGACAAGTGAGGGTATTTAAAATGCAAGAGCTTTCATCTCACTGCAGTCAAATGTCTTACTTGCCACATAAATGGTCTTTTCAGTGCATCATTGAGGAGTCTGGAGAACACATCATAGCTGGTGCAGGGGAGCTGCACCTGGAGATCTGCCTGAAGGACCTGGAGGAGGACCATGCGTGCATTCCTATTAAGGTACAGCTGTTATCCCTGCACACGGAGGATCTGGAGTGGCAACATGACTCTTCACCCTGTAAGCTTGTAAATTGAGAAAACAGGTCTTGCTGCTTGTCTCTGCAGCCCGTTTTTACTAAGGAGCGAATTCCTGAGGTGATTCATTTCAGTGACAGTTCAGGAACTCTAGCAGCTGCGCAAATGCAGCTGAGAGAAACAGCTCCTAATCTGATTACTGCTGGCTGCTTAATGCTGATTTTGCCTCAGCCTCTAGAGCAGTGTGCTGGCACTCATCTGCAAGTGCTTCATATGTAAGGCTACCTCCAGTGATGAGGTCTGACAGTCCATTGAGGTCTAAGCAGTGATAGTTTCGAGTGCTGGTATTTTTTTACCCTAGTGCTTAACCCGATCAGAGCTCAGCAGTATCAGTGTCTGGAGAGCTGCAGTTGAGCTGGTGTCTCACTGATGTTCTCTGCTGTGCTGTTTATTCTTGCAGAAATCCGATCCTGTCGTGTCTTACCGTGAGACAGTCAGTGAGGAATCCAATGTGATGTGCCTTTCCAAGTCCCCCAACAAACACAACAGGTTGTACATGAAGGCCAGGCCCTTCCCCGATGGATTGGCTGAAGACATTGACAAGGGTGAGGTCTCGGCCCGCCAGGAGCTGAAGCAGCGAGCTCGTTACCTGGCTGAGAAGTACGAATGGGATGTCACCGAAGCAAGGAAGATCTGGTGCTTTGGTCCTGATGGCACTGGCCCCAACATCCTGACAGACATCACCAAGGGAGTGCAGTACCTTAATGAGATCAAGGACAGTGTTGTGGCTGGCTTCCAGTGGGCTACAAAGGAGGTAGGGACAACACCTGCCTTGGCTGATAGCTTCAGGGAAGGCAGTATGCAAAATTGTGGAAGGCTACAGCACTTCTCCTGCTGTGAATTCTGGAGCTATTGCATAAAAATGTCAGAAAATGGTTTCAGTGTCTCAAAAAGCTGCCTCTGAAGAGCTGAAGTGATGACTCAGAGGCGGGAGTAGCTGGTTCTTAATTCTTAGGCAAGGAAGATGACTTGTTTAATGGTTTCTTAGTGGGCAGTGCACTGAGCTTGTGCTGTCTGCTCCAGCCCTGGTTTCTATGAATGCCAATACACTCAAGAACCAGAGTGTTAAAACAAATGGAAAAGCCTGTTGTCTTCTCCATCACTCTTCCCTGATGCATTGTTTGGCTTTCCTAGGGAGTCCTGTGTGAGGAGAACATGCGTGCTGTTCGTTTTGATGTGCATGATGTGACCTTGCACGCTGATGCTATTCACCGTGGAGGTGGTCAGATCATTCCCACTGCCAGGAGGTGCCTCTATGCCTGTGTGCTCACTGCTCAGCCCAGACTCATGGAGCCCATCTACCTTGTGGAAATCCAGGTGTGCAACCTGCTCAGACTCAAGCTTAACTAGGATGGAAGCGAGGAAGATTTAAATGGGAGAGTGTAGTCCTGACTGTCTTCTCTTACAGTGCCCAGAGCAGGTAGTTGGTGGCATCTACGGTGTGCTGAACAGGAAGCGTGGCCACGTCTTTGAGGAGTCCCAGGTGGCTGGCACCCCCATGTTTGTGGTCAAGGCCTACCTGCCTGTCAACGAGTCCTTTGGTAGGTGTGCTTTTTGCTGGGGATGCCCACTGTCTTAGATGCACAGGAACCTTGAGACAGGCACTGATCTTGGGCAGCTCTTGCTGCAGAGAGGAGATCCTACATGTACAAGGGGCACAAGGGGTACAAGGAAAGCTCGGGGGTAGGTTGCTGGGTGCCCAGCAGTCAAGGTCTCTGTGGGTTTGGGTACAATACTAGGGTGCTCCAGATCTGTTGGCATCTCTGGGGCGTGGGATAGGTGTGTGCTGTTGGTACAGCACATCAGAGCACTGGAACAGGTTGTCCAGAGGTTTTGGAGCCTCCTTTGGAGATCTTCAAAACACGTCTGGATGTGACCCTGTGCCACGTGCTCTGGATGTCCCTGCTTGAGCAGGGGCTTGGACTAGATGATCTCCAGAGGTCACTTCTAACCTCAACCATTCTGTCATACTGTGATGACATACTGAAATGTTTGTCCTCCCTTTCAAACTCACTGCTGTGCTCTTTCTTCCAGGTTTTACAGCTGACTTGAGATCCAATACAGGTGGCCAGGCTTTCCCCCAGTGTGTGTTTGACCACTGGCAGATCCTGCCCGGGGATCCTTTCGACAGCGCTAGCCGTCCTTGCCAGGTTGTTGCCGAGACCCGCAAACGCAAAGGGCTCAAGGAGGGTATCCCTGCACTGGACAACTTCCTGGACAAATTGTAAAAGCCACCTGCCCCAGCATCACTCAGTCACTGTTGTTGGACTCTGGAGGGGGGAAAGAAAGAAACAACTAACTAGCATAACACCAATGCAGCAGGCAAATGGTAGACTGCAGTGATCATCTCTTTGCATTATACTTAATCAGTTTCATAGCGATTTGAGACTTTCAACAAAAAAAAAAAGCATTGATATTCAGCCTTATAGGTTTCTGTGTTGCACACGACTCATCTGGGGCCCCACTCGGTGCCATTGTAACTAAAAACATTTCCACTTGATGCAACTAGAGTTGCCTGGTTCCATATTTATTTGACTCGTGGAGGAAGCGTCTCTGCTTTATTTTGCGGGGGATGGAAGGTGGGGGGTGCAGGGGCACACTCAGTTCTTATTTCTCAAAAAGGGGGGTAGCATGATGCCCAACTGATCGCAAACCAAGCAAAGCGAGTGCAGCCAAGCAGGGACAGGGCTTGCTTGGATTAAATGGCCTGTAGTGGGTTTTCAGGGGAGGGGTTGTCAAGGGATTTCTGGTTGGGCAGAAACTAGAAGGCAGGGAGATCTTGTGCAGTGTGATTTGTCATCATGAACATCAACAAATGTATTAGTGCCACTGGAAATAATAAATTTGATATGGTGATGAATATTCGCAGGGGCTCTTGCTTCATTTGCTGCCTCGCCTGTGTCTGGCAGGAGACAGTGCCCAGAGCGGGTCTGGCCGCATTGGGCCCTGCTCCCCAGCGCCGCCTCCGGGGGCTGCTCCCGCTGAGCCCGGACCTGCTGGAGGGAGGGCTCGGGGGCTCCAGGGA